TGCCGGGCCTGTCAGCAGTGTGGGCAAAAGCCGGCGAGGTACCAGGTACCCCTGAGGCCGTTCCGAGTCAGTCGGACGAATCAGTTGGTCGGAATCGACCTGCAGGGGCCCTTTCCACGATCCCACCGGGGCAACCGATATATTCTCGTAGCGGTGGAGTACTTCACCCGCTACCCCGTGGCGGTGGCTATCCCGGATAAAACAGCCCTCGTCATGGCCCGGGCCTTCGTGGAAAACTACGTACTTAAGTGCGGGATCCCCGAACGAGTCATTACCGACCAGGGTAGTGAATTCGAGGCCGAACTATTTCAGGCGCTGTGCCGAGAGTTCGGGATTCAGAAGGACCGAACCACGGCGTATCACCCCCAGGCGAACGGGATGGTAGAGAGGATGAACCAGACTCTGGCCGGGAAGCTTAAACACATGGCGGCCGCGAATCAACAGGACTGGGACGAACACCTTCCCTATGCCCTGTTCGCCTACACCACCGCCGTTCACACCTCTACAGGACAGACCCCGTTCCTAATGATGTTTGGTCGCGAGTCTCGCCTGCCCGCAGATCTGCTGTTCGGTGTCCCTCCGCCGCAATGGGAGGAAGGGAGCCACCCCGTGGAGCACTTGCTGGAGACCCTGCGAGGGGCCAGGGGCCGAGCCTACCCGCACGGAGAGGCCGCGCACCAGCGGCAAGAGCAGGGCGCCCGACCCCGTATGGAGCCCCCCTTCTACCCTGCGGGCTCCGAGGTGTGGCTGTACACTCCCCGCGTCGGTGCCGGACAGGTGGGGAAGCTGACCACCTACTGGCGAGGACCCTGGATTGTGAGACGGCAGATCTCACCATGGACGGTGCTGATTCAGGGAGGAGAGAGGGGCCGGGAGATGGTGGTCAACATCCGCCGACTGAAGCCGTGGCGAGCAGCCCCCGAGGGGGGGAGCCCCGCCGTCCAAGTACCCCGAAACCCCGGGGTCCCCCCACCCCCCGTGCCCGGGGGCCTCGCGCAGTATATGGGCCCCACGGAGCCCCGGGCTCCGAGGGGCCCCGGGCGGGGCCGGGGGCGACGAGGACGGCGACCCTTAAACCCCACCGCCTCTGAGTTTGTTCCCCAGCCCGCAGGTGCCAGAGGCCGAGGGGAGCCGTTGGAATGGAGGAGGAGACCACCGCCGGAGCCCCAGGAGATGGAGCCGCCACCCCCGAGGCCAGCCACAAGGGCCGGGCGAATCCCACGGACCCCGCGGCGATACCTCGTGGGGGCAACCCAGGCAAGGTGCTCCAGTCAACCCGGGACGGGGACTGGCACCCCGGGGGGCTATGTGGTGCCACAACGACGAGGCCGCTCTGCCGAGCCAGGGAGCCGCCCGGCTTCCACCACTGCACTGCCCCCCATCACCCCCCCCACATAAGCATGCACCCGCACCCACGTAGGGCCTTGTGGTCGGGTCACCTACCCTGAGTTTTCACCCGAGGGCCCCCTCGGGGGGTTACCCCACGGTTTCTCAGGGCCAGGGAATTGGACAGGACCCTTCCCAGGCTAAGTAACACTGCGGCGCCGTGGGCGGATTTGAGATCGCACGACCATGGCGAGCTCAGAGAGCCCCGCAGTTAGAAACGCATACAAACACAAACACGGGTCAGCAAGGCAGATAGCTAGGATCAGGACCCGGGGCTGCTGCTTAGCAAAAAGGTCAAAGGCCGGCGGGATCGCAAAAGGGCGGGAGATCCTAGGCTCAGGATTGGTCGAGAGACCAAGGCGGTCGGGACGAGGGCGCCTAGCTTTGATGTGGATAGTTTAAAAGAAAACGCAGGGGCAGTAGGGGACTCTCTTCTTCTGGAGTAGTGACACGGGCTGGACGACGAGGGAGTCATCGGGCGAGCCGCAGGATCGTCTGCAGGACGACCTGAGCGCCGCAAGGTCACCTAGGACTACAGACGGTATCGTATTACGCGCCTTACAACACCTCAGAGCGGAGAGTGGGATACGTAGGAGAAGGTTAGTTCGGGGTAAGGACGAGTAGGAAAGCGGTGTAGCAGAGAGCGCAGCATAGAATAGGGCTGCACGCCACTAGAGAGTGGGTTGGAAGCGCCTTGCTGGCTCGTACACACACACGGGTGGCTCGGTGGGTTAACAAGGGTTAATAAAATCTCGAGCGTAGTAACAAAACCGTGTTGTTGGGTGTTTTTGAACGTGGTATTGGCGTGCACTGCATTCGCGGGTGTGGGGTCGTTGTGTGCGTAAAGGCCGTGGTCTCTGTACGATGGTGCGGGTACGGAGGTGTGTGTGTTAACGCCCGGGGAGAGCACTTTTGTGTGTTGGCGTGCCTGCGCAGCCGTGTGAGAGGAGAGTCGTCCTTGCACGATACTTGTGTTGACGTGCACGCGCGAGTGCGGGAGGGGACGGGTCGTCGTGTCGGCGTGCACCTCGCTCGCGTGTGCGAAACCGCGGTGCGCAGTGAAGCTGTTAGCTTTGTGCGAGCTTGCGTGTGCTCGAGCGCGTAATCGGCTGCGCATTGTTGTACGGTTTATCTCGCGCGCACGGCGGCGGCAACTTAAGTCGTTGTGTCGGCGTGTGCCCCGCTTGCGTGTGCTCGTTACGTGTTATAAGTGTGAACGCGTGTGGTACGGTGTATGCGTACGTTCTCGTCGTGCGAAATCGGCGTACCCCAGGTGCGCGATCGTAACGTGAGCGGCCAGCGCGGCGCAGAGCGGCGCAAGAGTGAGTGCCGTGCAGAGCTGTGTGTGTGGGTGTGCGCGTACGTAATTAACCATGCCTGCTACGCGGACCCGCGGTGGAGGGGAATCCTCGGGCGACGGCTCCCACACCATGGGTGAGGAACTCAGCAGCGGTTCGCTTAGCAGCGGGGGGGCGATTGATGATGCTAGTCCGGCCGTTAGCATTATCGAGGGAGGGATTTCGGGGGCTAGCGACCCCCACAGATGTACGCTGAGCTTACCGGACACCACCCCCCACGATTCGATGACTACGATTCATGGTCACGATTAAACAAAAAAAAATCGATGCTTTTGTTTTAATGCTTACTACAGTGGGTTTAGGCAGGTGAAAACTCACGAGACCAGGATAAAGTCTCAGGCTCCATTTGAAAGAAACCTCACCACATAAACTTTGATTGAAGGCATCACTGGGAGCACACCACTCCCTTGTACGAGTACAGTAGATGGCACTCTTGAGCACAGTGCATAATAGTGACTGTTGTTACAGACAGTTCCCGAGATACGAACGTCCGACTTACGAACATCTGCACTCATGAACGAACCGCCATAAGACATTTTTAACCATCTGATTTGCGAACGTTCGGTCATACTTATGAACTGATGCATGCAACTGCGCTGGGACTCATTACATCCCTTCCAACAATACAAGCCAACAAGGTCTTAAGGTAAATGAAAATAAAATATTTTTTATCTTTTCATACTTTGTTTTATTTACTGTTCAGTATTTATTAGTGTATCATATACAAATACTTATTTTATTTAACAATACCACGATTTATAAGACTGACCTATGTACTGTATAATTAAACATTGAGAGTCGAGATACGTACACATTGACTTACGAATGAGTCTTGGGAACGTAAATCGAGGACTGCCTGTATATTGTTTCTTTTTAGTTATGAAATGTTTATCATCCGTTTAATTACCACTTTTACTGATACTCCAAGGAAGCCCTCATATATTGCTTATAGAAAAGCAATAAAGGTGTCGTAAATGCATCTCCATGTAGTATACAATAGTATAATGACCCCTTTTATTTGATTCATGCTCTCTTCTGCAAGAACGTATCTTGAGCACTAAGCGGGGTCTACAATAAAACGACAGTGATGCAGTACAGGTACAGTGTCCCTCGTTTTAAAAAAGGTTTGGTTAAATAAATGTCACATTAATGCAATTGAAAAATTATGGACACTTTTCTACTAACGAAATTTAATATCCGCGTAAACAAAATTTCACACCACATTCGCCATGAGATCAAACAAGAACCGCCCGGGAGGTCGCATCCATCTGAAACAGTGTCGATGTATCCCTGAAAGTGCAAAAGTAAAGCCTCCACGTCACTTTTTCAGTCAACATGCAGAAGGTCTCTTGGTGAGTTCTCTGAAAAGGTTAGTAATTTTAGTTTTATCATTATTATTCAATCGTTTAATGTTTATGTTCGTTATTATTTTTGTTCAGTGCATTGTAAAACGTATAGGTGTATATTTACGGTTAGTATTAATTTAGTATTAAATATATGGTAAAAACCATTCCGATTTATAAAATTTAGTTTGCATGTTTTATTTTTACAATGCATCCCTTTTGTAAACGAGGGATATTTGTGCTTTATACTGGTAGGAACGAAGTGAACCAGCCTACAATAGATTATATCGTCCGTCCGTCCGTCCATCCGTCCGATGTCCGATTAGGTGTAGTAACATCGCGCCCTACTGCAAACACTTGGCAGGACCCTACAAAAACCTTTAGACTGAGTGACGCTTTCCTGGCTAAACAAGTGTCACATTCCCTTATAAATTCCCTGAGATAGCTTTTAATTAAAACATTTCAATTAAAAATTAACTCACAGCGGCCTAAAGCCTACAGCTAGGCCTAAAGCCTAGAACTAGGCCTCAAACTCTCCCTTCGTATCGTACCCCCGCGTGTGTGAAAGGGAGTTAATGTTTAACAATGTTACATTCCCTGATGTTTTTAAATAGAAACATTTACATTTCAAGCTTTTACATTAATAATTAAAACATTTAAATAAAAAATTAACTCACAGCGGCCTAAAGCCTACAGCTAGGCCTAAAGCCTAGAACTAGGCCTCAAACTCTCCCTTCGTATCGTCCGATTAGGTGTAGCAACATCGCCCCCTACTGCAAACACTTGGCAGGACCCTACAAAAACCTTTTGACTCAGTGAGGCTTTCCTGGCTAAACAAGTGTAATAATACATTATGTTTATATTCTTTGGTTATTCGTTCCTACCAGCCCACCCCGCAGGGACCTGTTATGTATGGTATATAAACTCTCCAGGCTGAATAAAATATAAATGGATTCCTCAAGGTCGTCTCTGAATCAATGCTGATGCTATATGCGCGGTGAATGGACAATGTCGACAGTAGGATTTTACTTCTCAATCACTTATTGTTACGTGTCACCGATATCCTTGTCAATCACAGGTAAATAAACCTTCACCATTCGTAAAAAAAAAAACATGACTATGTTTATACGATACTACAACAAGATTTGCAAGCATTCATACAAATACATGGCAATTCACTAAACTATGCAAACAAGTCAAAAAACATCATAAATGGGGATTATTCGTGCTTTCCAATGTCAGAACTGTAGGAATGAGGTAATCCCAGATTTGACAACAGTATTCTAACTCCGGCTGAACTTCTACACCAAACGCTTACTTACGGCAAGGGTTACGTTCTTGAAAATAGCTGAAAGCGGCAAATCCGCGATCCACAAACTCAAAGGCAAATGGGAAAACGAGGGATTGGTTCACGGTTCGTAAACGAGACCCCCTCCTTTTTTTGATTCGGCACATTTGGCAGCTGAGAGTGGAATCTATACTACTGATGAGTATCATGAATTACCAGTGCTGTTATAAAGAGTGAATGATGTGAGCAGGATATAGCAAGTCACAAAGAGAAGAAATAATGTCAGAGACGGCAAAGAGCCTTGTGGAATGGCAACCTGCAAAACAACACCTTCCTAACCCACTTCTTTCAGCCTACAATCTTACATTGCACACAGGCTCCCGCACCTGAAAGCATGTCTGTTGTACCGCCGCTGATGTGATTGCACGTTTGTTAGAAAAGGAGCAAGACGGCCGCAGTACCAAGCATGAACACAAAGGTCAGAGTGACATAAACCATGTGCCAGAAAAATGAGCTCTGCTCCTGCACGACAACCCTCGCTCGCTCTGCAGGGCGAGGGAAACCTAGCGCGGTCATCGGCATGGGACCACTACAAAGCCACGCGATTAGGGCCCATATACCAACTAGCAGAGCAGCAAAGCACAGAACAATAGAGCACAGATCCATTTTCGAGATCTTGCGACGTGCTTGGAGATAGAGTCGCTCCAGACACGACGGCGGCCCAGGAAAACGCTTGGCAAATTCATCAAACTTTGGCAGCTGCTGCTCAAACATGTCAGCCCTCTCCCGCAACTCCTTCGCCACCTGGGATGGGCTCCCTTTGTGCAGCTTCCTTCCCAAGTAGGCAAGGAATCCGACGTCTAAGACGATCCCCAAGGAAGAAAAGACGCCAGAAAATGCAGCCTTTCCCACTGCCATACTGGCAGTTTTGACCATAGAAGCTCCCATCCTGGCATTATTTGCCAAATCAACTCCCACCAAGCTTGCTTTTGTCCCAAATCTTACTGCTTTGATCGCACTCACTCCAATCTCAACTGCATCAGCTGCCTTCACTGGAACAATGCCTACACTGATGAACACTCGTACCACAGACTCGGCGAACTGATCACCACTGCCAGGCCGGACACCCACATGTCTGCACAGCTTTCCGTAAGCTTTCCTGAAAGAATACGCCCTGTAGTCTTGCTTGTCGAAATGAGTAAGCTCGATGCATGCTTCCTTGATGTTTATCAGTGAATTCATGACCTCTTCCGCCCTTTCTGTGTCCAATTTAATGGCTGCATCAGTGGGCTTGAGTTTGCATTTTTTTATTAAGAACTTGGAAAGGTTGCTCCCAGCTGTCACCAAACCACCCGTTATGCCAATCCCAGCTCCCACCACACCTGCTATTAGAGCAGAGGCACCGAACGTGAACGGGGCCGCGATGATCCCAGCGGTAGCCACGATGCCACCAACAAGGCTGGTGGCCGTGCCCGCTGTCTGGGAGATGGTGACATCTTTCTCCAGTTTGTCCAGCGCATCGGCGACCCTCCGCATCTCCTTGATGCTGAACACCCTGGTCTCCTTCCAGATGCGCAATATATTTATAAAGGTGACCTTGGCATTGTTGGATAGGGCTTGTAGCTTCTCTTCGGTTTCGATAACTGGAAAGCACAGTGTGTACATGGAAACACGAGACGTTAGCTTTGTCCTGTTAATTTCACAATTAAGACTGGCGTGGAGGCACGTGCCAGCACATTGGAGGCAAGGGTTGGCATCATCTGCGTGTGATTTACAAACCCAATGGGCTGCAACATGGTTAGGACATTTCAGTACATCAAGTATATTATTGGCCTGTCCATATTTTGAGTGTTATTCTATCACATCCATATTTTATTTTTGAAAACTAATTTAATTCCACATGCAAAAACATTACTTCTGAAAATATATTAAAGGTTTTTTTGAAAGCAGAGGCTTTCCTGATGAAATACTTCTTGTATTATAACTGCATGAACATACGCAGATGTATAAGCACATATTCACGTACCAAAGGATGCCCCCCCCCCCCCCCCCACATTCATTTATACTTATACATATCAAAAACAACGATCCCCCGTATTTCGATTTAAAGCATTCCTGACTGCAGGGATTCATCTGCTTGGTTCTTTCGGTAAAGTCACGTAGAAGGGAAGTAATAAAATAATAAATAATAAAACATAATAAAATAATTCTGACGACGTTTCGGCCACAACGCAAGCAGCCGTCCTCAGGTGAAAAAACAGGTCTGTCGAGGCGACAGCGTCTGAATGAAACAGCACCATGCTTGGAGCATATATAGCACCATGCTTGGAGCGTATATTTAAGCTGGGTTGGAAGGGGGGGAAAGGGCGCCTTCACAAAAAAATGTGCATATCAAGAGGAATTTAGCATATTTATAAATAAGCAAATTCTTTTGTCAAGGCGCCCTTTCCCCCCCTTCCAACCCAGCTTAAATATATGCTCCAAGCATGGTGCTGTTTCATTCAGACGCTGTCGTCTCGACAGACCTGGGTTTTCACCTGAGGACGGTTGCTTGCGTTGTGGCTGAAACGTCGTGAGAATTCTTTTATTATGTTTCATTTTTTATTATTTTATTACTTCCCTTCTACGTGATTTTACCGAAAGAACCAAGAAGATGATCCCCCGTATATTCTTAACAGACCGTTGGGGCAAGTGTTGTTAGCACTTATGAAGGCCGGAACAGCCAACAAGGGGGTGGGTGGCTTGCACCACGCCGAGCTGTCTTTGTTTCCCAGGTGGCGATGTTTACATACCGCGCCAGGAACTAATTCGAGGCTGAGTCGACCTAGGGGAGGCCCAGGTCAGGTTTAGATAATCGTCACTGGTGTTGGTCGTGAGCGGGAAAATTTTTTTAACAAAACATCTGACATAATGACCCTAAAAATAATTATTCAGACTTAAGCGTCAGCACCGGATTTTGAGTTTGATGGTCAATGTCAGCCAGCATCCGTTCTCGGCACAAGCTCTCGTGATGTTCCCAGTACAGATCTGGGTTCAACTCCCTCTTTTAATCACGATTTCCCCAAGACATACTCAACCTCCTAAAGCCCCTTTTCATAAAAAAAGTCCCCTAGGTATGGGAAAGGGGCTGCTTATTCGATGGTATCTCCGTTAATGCTGACCTCATAGGCACCTTCATTGCCAATATCACCAACGACCATTCTTCTCTGTGTTGTTAGCCCATACTTCCTGCTTGTTCAATGAACTTGTTTTGCGTCAACGTTATGGAGCACCACGTTAGCCTCTTTCATTATGAACTCCGAGTAGATGTTGACATACCATGTAAATTCTGAACGGACACGTGTGCAGGACACAGCCTCACAGCACGCCTCACTCAATCTTCCCTCATTTGGTCGGCCACCTCTCTGATTAGCTGGGGCGCCGCGGTGGTGAGATATTAACTACCTCGCCTAGTATACAGGTTATGGGTTCGACGCCTGTGTAGTTGGAGTTTGCACGTTCTCCCCATGGTTGCGTTGATATTTCTACGGGACCCCCGGTTCGCTCCACATTTAGAAACTTTCTTTTAGAGTATTTGGCTGCTATACATTTCCACATGATAAGCCACTTCGTTTTACTATCATTTATGGCCAGGTCGCTTCTGAAAACGAGCTATTAAGGTCATTGGGCTTTACCTGGTAAAATAAAAATTAATTTTGTTTAAAATGAAAAAAATTGTTTAGTTTAGCTTCAAGTCATTCTTATCTACTCTACATCTTGACAAGCTTTTATTAACTCAAGATGGAATGATATGAATCTACAAAGCATATTTATATTATTGCATTTTTACCGTTCTCTCACAAAACAGCCTTAGACGAAATATCGCCTCCCTCATGCCACATTTCTTCCTGCAGTCAAACTGATAAAATAAAAAAGCTATGAAAGTGTGAATTCATAGTTAGATTCAGCATCCTTTAAAACCTTCAATACGTTTGACCAAAGGGCAAGGTTTAAAAAGAAAAAAAGTTGTAATGTCGCCTGCTGATTTTGGTTGGCTCAAAAATATAAACAAAAAATCATCATACCTGTGTTGATTTTTTTGGACTTGATATCCAAGTGTAAATAATACTAAATTCTTGTCAACTAAACAAATCACATAACCACAGCTAATCTGTGCTGATGCAACAGCTCCGCTCTTGCAGCTTCGCGTGAGCCTGGTTCTATGGATCGTGGTTTACGGTCCGTAGAAGGGTTTCAATCTGCCGTGGTGTGCCGCGAATTACAAGGATTAGCGACATTGGATCGCGGATTATTGGAGGTCACCTGTGTGTTATAGCATTTACCATATAAATTATGTTGGATACTTCTTATAAATGGATTGTGCAATCCGGACCAGCGATTGAAATTGATCTCTCTCACCTCACCACTCATCAGTATGCAACCTAGGCCACGGTTTGTGAGTTACGTAATTCTGTCGTGTTGTTTCAGGATATAAAACTACCTCCGTGACGTGGCTTAATTTTCCGGGAATTTTTAAAGGCTGAAATTGTTTTACATTTTCATTAAAACGGTTGAGATAAATCTGCCTTTTTTTTACTTCCGTAAATGGAGCGACAGTTATCGGAACCGGTCTGTCCTCATTTTTTTCCAAAGACGCGTGACACCTGGCCTATTTTGTTAAGGAAACACTCCCACAGAGTTCAATGTACTTTACAAAAAAGAACACGCATTAGCCTTCCATCCTCCCTTTCAAGCGTTTGGTTCGTGCCCTCGTGATAAATGTGAGCAGCAGCCACTCAATTATTATACCCTCTTATAAATCCACCTCGCACCTGCGCACGAGCTGAGTCTACCACTCGATCTTCAGGCCGCGCGTCATGTCCGGCACATGCTCGAATGCTGCGCCGCTATTTTGAACCAGCGGCCACCGTCCCCTCCACGATCGCTGCGCGCCCTACCCAAGCCCATTTTGCTTGATGATCAAAACCAACTCTTTGAGCGGTATAATTCATCCGAAATAACGTGGTCCTCTTTCCTCTGTCTCTCTATGCCATTCCAACCGTATGCACCTTTTATAATCACGATTGGTGGCATACGGAGCCATTTTGAGTACAGTATGGAAATATCGAATTAATTATACGTTTGTCGACTGCGCTAATGATGGTTTTGGATGTTATTACATGTTCAAATGTTTGTTTTAACAGTTCTACTTTTTAAACATGCATTATTATCTACACTGTACGGCATGCCTCCCACGTAGTACATATCGAAACGCCAGAACAAAGAGATATCTCACTTCTTCATAAGGGTTATATGAAAAATAACCATTACAAGTGATTGCAGACCAAAAAGATGTACTCCCTTCTTTTTCAACTTGGTATGAATTATGCATACGCTGTCTTAAAGAATTGCAGTGTTCAATTTAGTATTAGATTCATGATTTGCAGTTGCACAGAATACAAAGGCCAATGTCAGGCATCTAAACATCACTGTGCAAACAAAGTTATAACGTGAATCACTTTACTATGATATATAAATAACATCACTCGACGGTTAACTACTTAAGGTGCGAAAGAAGTTCAATATACATTGTTATTATTCAGTACGTACGTTTTTTTTACCTAGAACCCCTATAGAGTAACTTTCAGAAAAAATGTCCAATGCCTTGCTCGTGCTCAGCGCGAAACGGTTCTTAATGTGTGCGACTTCATGCCCGTTAATAGGTAACGTTTCTAAAACTTTAGGCACTTGTAAAGCCAACAGGGAAAACGCTACAGCGTTTCATAAAAATCTAACAGATAACGTTAACAAAACGGCTACTCGAATGCTTAAACTTTATTTTGCTGCAATACGTAGCGACGTCTTTGGCGCACGGTGCAGTATTTTCATTGCTGTTTAGCGCCCACTAATCGGCACGTGTGGCATGTAAAACGAGATTGTGAATAAACGCTAACTAACGGTTTATAGAGGGGTGGTTTTACCGTCCATTCCAACCGAGATCGCAGATCCACTCGCTTGAGGTCTTGCGTCGAAACAAACCCGTCTCCGAGCCACAGCGGTGCAAGCGTTGTGGAAGTGAAATCTTGTTGCAGTCACCAATGAGAGCGTTATATGTTTTCTAACAGGAAATACCCAGCGTTGCCAGGACACTTGCGGCTATATTTTGTTAATGTAGAGTGGCTCAATCACTGTATTCAGAAGGAGGGGGATCAATGGCATTACAGCAACTGTTAATATTCTTCTGTGCCATGGGACATGTAATAAATGTAATATAAGGTGCCCACAATAGGGTAAAAAACGATGCAGCCAAGATTTTTTGAAGCGTGAATGATGCCGTGTTGTTTGCTTGTGGTCAGAATGCAAACAAAAAACATACTCTGATAATATATGCATTGTCCTTAAAACTGATGGGTCCACACCAGAGACAGGTTTTTTTTTAGCCTCGTCTCAAACGGTGTTAGACCAGAGGACGCCAAAAAGCTGTATATATATAGTAGCTGTTAGATGTGAGGGGCCACGTTAACATGCGCTGGGTTAGGGATGGTGACGTCACTGGAGCGTGTGGAGTGCCGTTTGTGGGGCTCTGGCCCAGGCGCAGCTCATCCACTAGGGGGCGTTGGGGTAATGGTTCTTTCAACGTGACTTGCCTATTTAAGATAACATTTTAAGTTGTTCACATTCGAAACCGCTGCAACACCACAGTCGGTTGTAAAGACGTCCGAGTGAGAGATTCATTGCGATCAGCTTTACCACCCATGGCTGTAATGACGATGTCACAACGCAACGTTGCACTGCGCAAATATAGCAGGCACAGCCTACGTGCTCTAGGATTTTGGCAGTGTCAAAGGGGTTGTGTAGAGTGGACTTAAAGATAATGGGAACAGTATTTGAGTGTTTTTTTGTTTACTAGCTTTACTACCTGGCTTCGCCCGGGACTTGGATTCACCACGCCCGGCCACCTTTGTTCCCCCAGTGGCGATGTTCACACACCACAGCCTGGAAAGTAGCCAAATGGCAAATTTCAAGTTTGTTGCATGTCGGGAAGTACGCTAAACATTTTGAACAGACACACATAATCACAGCTTTGCCTTTTATATATATGGAGAAAATGTAGGTAAATAAATAAATGCCTACCATTGGTAGATAACACAGTTATATCATTTTCACGGGACGGCCAATAACATGACGAGGTTTTTATTAATCAGAACACCGTCTTTTCAGAGGTCACTCACCACAGCCCCACCTGGTGGAACTCTCACGAGACGCCACTGCTCCGGCCCTCGCCCCCCGATATAAAATGTCAGCTCGCCATGTAACTACGGGTTTCCGCGGGTTTTTAAAAGGTAACCCTTCCAAGGTTGGTAACGATAGCTTTAACGGTGTGGATTTGTATTCGGAACAGACGGACTTTCATATATATGTATGTGTGGTGTGGCTGTGGGTGAGTCTACCCCATATATCCTAATATGATTTGACCACTGTCCGAGTTAGCACGAGATTAACCTGCCCAGTCTGCAATGTCAAACAACCGAGTGTGAAAAGTTAAGACATGCTCCCAATGCAATGCCTAATTTCACATTCATGAGATGTGGGCATCGTCCTGTTGATGTTCTGGTGCGGTTGATCGTTACAGCCAGTGTCTTCGAAGAGGAATTTCAAAGCCAGGAGAAGGTGCGATGTTTGTGTCTCGAGTGAGGTTTTTATTCTGGCCGTCCACGTTCTGGTGAATATTTGGGATAAACACTCGCAATGGAAGCACAGCGATTACAGTATTGGTTTAGAAACATACGTTTAGATTATTTTTCTGCTATACATTTCCACAGGATAAGCCACTTTGTTGAGCTATCATTTATGGCCAGGTCGCTTTTGAGAAAGGGCTAATAAGGGGCAGTCCATAATGACGTCACGCGATTTGGGACGATTTCTCACCCCCCTCCCCTCATCACATGGCGTCACAAAAAGTCAGACCCACTTCAAATATGACGTCACAAAGCTCTGCCCCCCCCAAACCATATTTCCATTTTGAAAATAAAACATGCTTCAAATCGCTTTAAACTATTGTCATTGTCGTGCGTATTTAATGTGGCGCTGCACTCTGATGTTGTAGGAGAAAACATTTATTAAAAAGTATATTTTATTAAGTAGAACGTGTTGTCTATATTTATTTAAAGTTGTGCATTTTGATGTCACATTTCTTAACCCCCCCCCCCTCGTCACACATCGTCACAAATGTCTGACCCCCCCCCTAGGTGCGTGACGTCATTTATGGACGGCCTCTGATGATGCACCCGAACACAAGGGGGCGCTACCTACCTGCTGATGTTTGCGTGTGTCCGCTTTGAAACGCTGCGCTACGAACCCGACCACCCGAGGTCGATTCCCGCTCACGGCCAACAACACCGGTGACGGTTATCTGAACCGGTCCTGAGTCGCCCCTACGTCAACTCAGTCTAAAATGAGTACAGTACCTGGTGCGGTGTGTAAACATCGCCACGAAGGAGACAAAGACGGCCGGCGTGGGGCTGGCCAACCACACGTATTCATAGGTGCATGTTCACAGTACTTGTCCTAACAGTCTTCGGCAAAGCGGGAAACCTTTGTGTCTGTCTCTTTAACGAGATTTGCGTTGGCGCTCCTCTTACAAGGAACATTCACTGAGTGAACGTGACTCTCCGACGGTACACGGGCGATAGAACTGGACTGGTGACATCTCAGGTTGCCCTCGTTACCTCTTGTAGGTGCAGCAATGGAGAAATTACCTCGACCCTTCACATCATCAATGTCCCTTCACACACCGCGTTTGCCAATTCTTCTCTTTACCATGGCGATCATCAAACCTGCTCATTAATTTGGAGGCCAAATTTCCCCATTGTCGCATCAACTTCAGGTTTGATGACATAACATCTTGTCGTTCAAGAATAATTAAAATAAGTTACATTTCCAGAAAGTTGGAAACAGTTGACTCCTTCTGGTCAAATTCCTGGGGGACATATCAAGGTCAAAGGGCAATTAACAACAGCGTGAAATCAGAACAGAAGAAGAAGAACATTGGCTGTCATCAGGGGCGCAGCTATGGGAGGGAGGGATATGTGGCAGCATATTCAACGCATACGCTGCCACATACCCAGCGTATGCAACGCAACGCATACGCTGGCCCAGTCAGTCACAAGGGGGCCCCGAATCAAAGATAAACAAGTTAAACATTTTTGTTTTATTACTAAAATTAAATATTCATACAAAAATTACCGGCGGTCTACCATAGACCAAGCCCGACGATTAAGGCATGTGGCTATCGTATCAACGGAGCAGTATAAAGTTGCGCGATCCACCCCCTTTGAGGAAATCCTAGACCGATGGGGCCGGCATGAAAGCAAGACGCACGACAACTTAATAGTGAGTATTGTTACCTTTAAATATTTACATTAATACTGCCACTGTGAGACTGTCTTCCTCTAAACCGAATACACGGTGCAAATAAAATAATAATGAAGATATAGTTATAGCCTACATATTATTGTATACGGAGTAAATATATCCTGAGCTATTTTAGTAAAAGTGAGTCGGGAGAAAGAAGGAGGGCCCACAGTCGTATTTTGCATATGCCTGTTTAAATAGGCACTTGCGCCCCTGGCTGCCATCCACCAAAGACAACACAAATAATCCAGTTTAACACGTAGGTTTTCGCGACAAATATCCATATAAGAGTGTTTTTTGGGTTGGATCGTGTAAATATACAAATGTGTCGCTAAAACCCACCACCACCCGACACAGCCAACTAGTAAGGGTTGACACGTTAACAGAACATGCCAATTCGTCACTAGTACAGCACACCGGTGTGTTGGAGAGCCAAGCCACAACATTTACAATCTGAGTATGACGTTTCGCCAGTAATTACAACTAGCTTCATCAGGCGACAGCCAGATTTGTGGAGAAGCCTAACTGTTTCGTTCCTTATATAGAGGCGTAGATGTGGTGGGCGCTTGTTTTAAAGCGGGATACATCGATCACAGACCCGAGGCACATTTCACGCTTGTTCAAAATTGTTTAGAAATGGATATCTTCTTCAAACAAAACGCCGGGAGGTTGTGGAGGACGGTTGTTGTTTGAGATCACAATTCAGTAATTTGCGGGTCATATAAAAATTAGACCATTTTGGACCTGATGACACAGTGGCTTGCTGTTGTGAATGACCTCAGGGAATCTTTAACATCCTCTGTGAAGCTACATGTATTGTGATTATTACACCCGCAGTATTAATCCGTGCGGACGCTGGAAATGAACCGGGAACCTCTGCAACAAAGGGCGAACGCGCTCCCGCTGGGTCACGTCACCGCCCAGTGAGGCTTACCCGGGATAAATAAAGAACAATGGAGTAGGGTCTACAGTACAAATGGTAGTAGGTGAATGCTTTCAAGGGTTAATGGATGGTTATATTGGGTGTGCTAATGGGCAGGGTCATGGTGGACCGTGACTAATTGATTTGTTAAGTTTTGTTAAAACTGGGCGTGGGAAACCTGAACCAATGAATGAGTAACGGCCGCTGTGGCTGATGGCAAGGGGCGCACCCGCACAGAGGCATAAAATAGGAGTGACTCACGATAGTCGTGGCACTCGGAATAAAGAAACCCAAGCAGAGCTCAGGGCCCCATGTAGCTCAGAGGCCCACAGATTTATGAAAAAATAGGATTGGACCAAATATCATCTCGAATTCAGATCCCAATAAAAATACAAGGTAATTAACAGAAAACATTGGAATGGATACCTCCCATCACTTTTGAACAATGAGATGCCGGTGTACGATAATACCTCGCCGAACGTGAGGGTTACGTTCCTGGAAAATGCCATGTTGGGCCAAAACCACATTCGACAAATAATAGCCCTTCTCGGAAAATAGGGTTGCATTCCTGGGTTCTAAATGATCACCCCCTCCCTCGTTGTCTAATTAATTTTACATGCTTTCAACCATTGTTATAAAGGATGCCGAGTCGCTCTCGATTTCTTGTGAGTGTGTAAAACACTTTTTTTATTTCACCTCAACACAAAACTCCCGTCTCCATTCCTATTCCCACACCGTGGCGCGGTCCTCACGCCCAGCACACGTCCCGATCACTACATCTTAGAACCGCAACAATTTCACGAACCAATCATTTCCCAAGTTTGGCGTAATGGGTGTCGTCTGTCCGGGTACATCACGGACACTTGAACGTTAAACACATTCCTGCGGAGGGAGCTGGTAGGAACGTTGGGTTGCTCGGTCAATGGCCAGGGTCAACGGCGGCGTGGTGTATTCCGCAAATATGGCCGACTGTGAGGGCGGGCACAAGCCGGCGTGAGTAGGTTAAACGTTTAAGGGCACCACGGGGTGACCAGCCCCTCCCCACCCAGCCCCACCCTTCCCACCCCCCACCCATCCCCACCCTCCCCACCCAGCCCCTCCCCACCCTCCCCTCCCCACCCGGCCCCTCCCCACCCTCCCCACCCAGCCCCACCCCTCCCATTTTTGGATGCACGACGGACGGACACAATAATCCCCTGTGGGCTGGTGTAACCAGGAGGTTCCTACCAGTATGATCCGCCACCTAGGCGTCCATATGGACTGACGTTCTCAACGAGTGGGCGGCTAGATGCATGCGCCAATGTGTGTGAACATTTGTGTTGTGCGTGGGCGTGTTGAGTCTGTTAGATACGTTTTACGTGCTCAACACGCCCCTTTTGTGAATGTGGTGAAGTGCAATCTGTTCATTCGTCTACCCACTGTCCATTACACGCTTACACAAGAGACACAGCCGCTAAACATCAAGCAACTCTTCATGTCATCAGATATATTACCAGACTCAACCAACAACACAGCTGTGGCTTGCCAGTTGCTCTTCAAATGCCATATGAGAGTGAGATATCCCTATCTTGTTTGTATCTCTTACCTATCATCTTACTCTTTTTTTCGACATTTCTGTCATCTCACCATTTTTTCTATAATCTATATCTCTTCCGTCATCTGACCAGGATTTTAAAAACTGGGATGGGTAGGTGGGGCGGGGCGGGGAGGGTTCCAAAAATAATTTCTGCTGAGGGTCTCCAATTGGGCAGCACCACCACTGGTCTCGCGTGTAGAAAAGAGGAGGACATGGGAGGAGCTGAACAGTGGAACGAACGCCCAGCCCACTCATTGCCCTTGAAACGTGAGGCCACCCAACCCTTAGTGTTGGGGACATGACATAGTTGCACCCACACACACACACGCGTGTGCATCTAAAAGGGTTGTCAGAATGCTTTGAGAACAAGACACTAAACATTATTGTAATGTCACTAAGCATCGATCTATTGTTAGAACCGCAGGCATAAACAACCAGCGAATTGTGCCAATGTGGGGGAGGGTGGATAGTGGCTCGCGATCACTGCCCTCTCAAGCCAGCTTGAGCTCATCAAACTTTCAAGTTCACGTTTATTTGTTTAAACAGTTGATAACTCGCCAGGCAATGCAGAAGAGTTTCACTTTCACACGAGACCTGGTTCACCGAAACAACAATATAAATAATTCCCAGCCACGGGGGATCCCCATGTCGGTCATGGGGAAGTATTTGACCATACTTTACCACGCCGGACACAATGGAGTGGAGTGAATTGAGAGGGGGCTAGGCCAGGTCATAAGCGGGTCAGATATTACTCGCCACTCGTGGTTTTATCCGTGACCGGGAATTTCAACTCACTTGGTCTGGCCCACAGCACCGTCTCGACCAGTGACATCCTCTTTCCAGGGTGTAGGCGGCTTGCAGCAGCATATGTTTCCATTTCTGTTTTCTGTCAGGGTCCCTGCCTTGATGTGCGGTGATTGTCAGTTCGCCTTCGTCATCATCACCATTATTCCGCTTGTTTACCGCAGGAAAGCCCCACCGATTCTCAACTCTGTTTCAAACGGGTTTTTATCAGGTTTCCCCAATAGAGGGCGATCTTGCTGCTGTGTGTAATCCCAATTGATTAATTTGCTGATACTTTAACAACACTGGATGTTTTTTTTTTGCTATGGGAGGAAACCGGAAAAGCTGGAGAAACCCAATGCAGAACGGGGGCAGAAACATACAAACTCCACACAGAAAGGCGCCCGAGTAGGGAATCGAACCCAGGGGTACTGGCTGTGAGGCACGAGTGTTAACCACTGCGCCAGCCTGCTGCCTTATCCCATCGCTTTCTTGGTAGTTCGCGCGATTTCTGCCCAGCTGTTACATCCTTGTACAGTATTGTGACCTTTTACAAACAACCTCCAGGTTTACGGATGACGAGCACAGTGCGCTAATCACTGCACCCCCCTTTACCCCCGGCTGAGTTAAGTGCTGCTGCGTACAGCGGGCCAGGGATGCACACACGTGTGCGCGCGTGTGTGTGTGTGTGCTGCGGAGTGACATCATCCCCTCTGTGATGGTTGATGAACAAGACGTTTCCTCTCCATCCCGGCGGTCTATCACGCCCGCACGCAGACACACACACACAAACACACTGCATCTAAACTATGTTTTCTTTTTTTTACCAGGAAAGGTCCACTGAGCTATATAACTCTTTTTCAGAAGCGACCCGGCCACAAATACTCAGACAAAGCCACGGACAAACACACATATAGTGTAGGAAAAAATCCAGGGGACGGGTGGCTAACACCACGCCGGGCCACCTTTGTTTCCCTAGTACGGTTTACACACCGCGCCAGGTACTCATTTCAGGCCCAGTCGATCCAGCAGAGACCCAGGACCGGTTCAGATATTCGTCACTGAATATTGGTCGTGAGCGAGAATCGGGCTCGCTGGGTTGGTGGTGCGATATTCACCGTTCCCCAAACATTAAACGCGCTCAGCCGCCGTTCGCCACTTAAGTCGCGGCGATGTCACCACTGCGCTTGTGTCAGGCTAGGTGCATCTTGAGACCACGCGAAGTGCCGAGGGCTCGCTGCTGGCAGGAGGTCACGGGACAGACACAGGTGATGACACCTGGGTCTGACCTCCTGACACAGATGCAAAATCATAATCTTAATTTAAACTGGAAAAATCTGATGAGCTGTGAAGAACTATTTCACAGTTAAACACGTAGGCTTTCGCGACCAATATCATCCAGAATATAGGGGTTTTTTTTGGGGTTATATCGCGTAAATATGTGTCGTTGAACCCGCCACCACCCGACACGGTCAATTAGTAAGGTTTGTCATGTAAACACCACATGCCAATTCGTTACTAGTACAGCGCACCGGTATGTTGGAGAGCAAATCCACAACATTTACAATTTGAGTACGACGTTTCGCCAGTAATTACAACTAGCTTCAGCAGTCGACAGCCAGATTGTAAATGTTGTGGATTTGCTCTCCACCACACCGGTGCGCTGTACTCGTAATCGAATTGGCACGTTCTGTTAACATGACAAACCTTACTCATTGGCCGTGTGGAGTGGTGGCGGGTTTAGCGACACATTTATATTTAGGCGATCTAACCCAAAAAAAACCGATATTACGAACTGAGTGCGACTATTTCACAGATGTCCAAGTTCTGTTAGCGAGCACCTATGAAGGCCAGAACGGCACACGTAGGGAAGTGGGTGGCCAGCACCACGCCCGGCCGCCTTTGTCTCTCTCGGGGCGATTTTTACCCCCCGCAACTAGTTACCCATTTGAGACTGAGTCTACCTAGATGAGGCCCAGAACCGGTTCAGATAATCGTCAACAGTGTTGGCCCAATACCCACCAAATATGTTAATGAGTTTCGCAACGTGCGGTGACGGGTGTGTGGGGGGCGGGGCGTAAGTTTGTGGGTGGGGATGGAATGGGGGGGGGGAGAGGCTGCGCGGCTTCTGATTGGATATTTATTTTTAGCTGGGCCGGGCCGGGCAATATAAGGAGAGGGAAGCCGCGGGTCCCGCATTGCATGCAGAGGGGACCGCGTGTGCAGTTTGAGTGGTCACTGTGGTGGGGGCATCTCCAGTTGAACAAAGGGCAAGGGGCATCCTCTGCTCACCCCCTTCCCCTCCACACACGCATACGGGCTTAACACAGGAGGGGACAGCGCGTGGGACAATTAGTATTGTTCGACACGGGTGAATGGGTCGTATTGTCGTCGTCGGACCGTAACACACGGTTATTATAATTTCTTTCCCCCCCTTCCAATTGTCGGAATAAGTTTTCGGTTTCGCTCGCTGGGTTTGCGGCGGGTCTCGAGGAGGAGAGCGGGCGCCGTGGGCTCCAAGCTACGCACGGAGCGACAAGTTTGGAGAGGTGAGTTTGGGGGGGATGGGATTGTGTTGCTGGAGGTTCGGCGATTCGCAATCCGGTGGAATGTTTCGTACTAAGTTGTGTTGGGGTCGTGTGCGTGCGTTTGAGTGAGTTTCAGTCTATGGGGGGGGGGGGATGTTGATAGATGTTGTCAGACGTTGCTAAGAGTGGTGGTGGTGGTGGAAGCGGTTCGCGCACCGCGTTACTGAACCCGCTCGACCCGAGTTCGATTCCTGCTCACGGCCTACAAAAAGTGACACATTATTTATCACCAGTCCCGGGTCTCCCCTAGGTCGGCTCAGCCTCAAACACGAGTACCTGGTGCGTGGCGTGGTTGTTGGTCACCCACGCCATCGTTTACCGTGCCGGCCTTAATAGGCGATCGCTAACAGCACTCGCCCCAACAGTCTGTTGAGGCTATAACGTGGGATCTTTTGTCAAGAGTTTGATCATTTCGTCTGTAGTTTGCCAAATGTATTGGTTGGTTTTGTCGAGTCATCTGCAGTGCTTTAGACGCGCACTGCGTGAACTGTACTGCAGTAGCACTCGTGTGCGTTAGCATAAGTTTGGGCCCAAGCGTATCGTTCAAGAAGATCTGGGGATGATAGCCACTCCCATCGTGTAATATAATGCAATGGTATAATACTACGGTACCATTTCGAAGACGCCTCGCATACCGTGGAAGAGTAGGCCCAATACTGCAACTTCAGCAGGGGGAGTGGACGCAGCCGCGTCAGGATATTACTTCATTATTTCTTGAGACGTTGATAAGTGCTGCTTGTTGCTGGCCGCTCGACGTGTTAGGCCTTTGTGTTAGACCTAATGAACTTTGGGGCCTGTCTACTCGGTAATAGTCTACAGTCCACTGGTGCGTACAGGACACAGATACAGCCATCACCTTCAAGTCCCGAAATGTCCATGGAGTTACATCTCATGGCATCCGTGAGAAACTGCTTTGCAGCTCCATAACATATTTTTTTAAATATAAATGTGTCGTTAAGCCCGCCACCACCCCACAATTCGTTACTCGTTCAGCACACCGATGTGTTGGAGAGTACAACGTTTCGCCATCAGGCAGACGGCCAGAGATGTGGATAAATCCTCCCTGCTTCGGTCTTAAATCGAAGGATAAATGTCATGTCACTTGTGAGCCTCATCGGATTCCTCCAGTTTCAATATTCTTGTGTGCCGTGGCCCCACAGTGAGGAGAGGAACAGCAGCGGGAGGAGGAGGTAGAGGAGAGACATCGCTGCTGTCTCAACAGCAGCAGTAGCCCCTCCACGCTGGCAGGCACGACCATGGCGGGCGTTGCGACGCGCAAGAAGCTGGTGGTGGTGGGAGATGGTGCGTGTGGGAAGACGTGTCTGCTGATGGTGTTCAGCAAGGATGAATTCCCCGAGGTGTATGTGCCCACCGTGTTCGAGACCTATGTGGCCGACATCGAGGTGGACGGCAGGCAGGTGGAGCTGGCCCTGTGGGACACGGCCGGGCAGGAGGACTACGACCGCCTGAGGCCGCTCTCCTACCCTGACACCGACGTCATCCTCATGTGCTTCTCCGTGGACAGGTGAGGAGGGTGGGGATGGGTGGAGGCCCCCAGACTGATACACGTGGATATCATCGTGAGCGTTCTCGGAAGATGATGGAATATGGTCTTTAAAAAAATGACTTCAACATCGGCTTCTATGTGGACAGGTGGTTGGATACGTTGAGGATGATAGAACATAGCCTTATAGACCTAGGACATCGAATTATCATGTATTTATCTGTGAATCGGTGAGGGTGAGAGGTATGGACACTCATTACTATGGGATTATTGGTGGGCAGGTAGGGTGGTACATGGGTACACATTGGCGTTCAATGTGACCACTGCTGGAAGTGTTTACCTTGAGGACAGGCGAGGGTCAGGCGGTACAGGTTCCCCACCCCTGCAGTTGAGGATAGTAAAACAGACATCTTGTATTCCTTTGGAGAGATGTTTATTGTGGTTGCACATTACAGGGTGGCCACGGAACTTGTGACATATGCAAATACATACACATTGCTGAGAGCGTGGTGAAGAAATGTTTACCTGGACCCTAGCAGATGAGCCCTCGTTTAGAGAACGGCCTTTGGATGGTGACCTCCCACAAATATGTCTAAGGTCCATTAAGTTGCCCGATTACCCATACAAGGTGTTTTTTTTTTATTAAAGCTTCAGATTAGTGTCAGGCAGCCTGATATGCAATTTTACAAGCTGATTGTGTTTTGGGCTTTGTTATTTTCTAATCCTAAAACAAAATCGGCCTCAATGTAAAGTGAGGCCGATTTGGTTTTCAAGATGTCTGGTCAATGTGGAAGAATAGGCCAAATATATCCCCTGGAGGTGATGGGAGTTGGGGGGTTCTCTGTAGAACTACATTCTGCCAACATTGGTACGAGCAGGAATATGCAGGACTGCAGCTCTACATTGTCCTTCTGTGTCCCCTCAGCCCTGACTCGCTGGAGAACGTGCCGGAGAAGTGGGTGCCCGAGGTGCAGCACTTCTGCCCCAATGTGCCCATCGTGCTGGTGGCCAACAAGAAGGACCTCCGTGGTGACGAATCCGTGCTGCACGACCTGGCGCGCATCAAGCGGGAGCCCCTGAAACCCGAGGATGGGAGGGCCATGGCGTCTCGCATCCAGGCCTTCGACTATGTGGAGTGCTCTGCGCGAACCAAGGAAGGTGTGCGTCTCGTCTTCGAGACAGCCACCAGGGCCGCCATCCAGAAGCAGCCCAAACGCCGCGGCCGCTCGTGCTTCAAGTGCAACCTGCTCTAACAGACATGGTGGACGTGTGTGATCGTGTGCGGTCAGGCGGACGTTTGTGGTGACTGAACCACTGTGCCCAGCAACACACCACTGGCAGCAATACAACCGCTGCTGCTGTCTCCACCTTCGATTGGCTACGTACGATGCGAAAGAAGTTCGACGTATGTACACTCACATCGTGGTCAACGCCAAACAATAATACAGCCACTGCACACACTTTACTGCCAATGCCACAAAGCTCGGTCGCATCAGCACTTGTGCCACTGCCAATAACGTGAGCACAACCATGGCCACCATCACCACTAGCTTCATTGTCAACACCAAAACCCACCATCTTTTTCTGCTGCCATCGTGGTGCTGATAGCGGTATTGATGACAACACCATCAATACCACTACCACCACTACTCATTACCACCCTCCACTATCACCACCACCATCACTGCTACTGCCACTACTACCGTCGCCGCTTCCTCCACGGGCCTTTCAATGTCTTCACCAGCTCTTGATCTTCATGCTGGCCATTGAACCTCCCCAGAAGCTTCTTGACATCCTCCAATGTCCACCTTACCTGTCCGGCAGCATCCTTGGCTTCTCAACGTCTGCAGCATCATCTTGAGCGTCTGTGGTACTCTGGGGGTACTGTGGAAGCGGAGGTGGTAACAGGGGAAGTGAAGGAGAAAAATATAGCTTTTGTGGACACAGTGGAGAGGTGGTGGGGACAGGGAAGAGAGATGGTGGAGACGATGTAGAGTTGGAGGAGAATGAAAAAGTGGTGAAGAAAATGTAGAGGTGGTGGAGACCCTGGAGAGTTGGTGTAGATGAGCCAGTCCTGAACAAAATGACACGGAATGATTTTGGCAAAAACGATGCAACTATCTTCCGCAATGCTTTCAGACTGCCTGGTGGAGCAGTGCAGTCGACTGTCCCTGATGACGAATGTGGACTTTTAAGATTACTAATATAGTAAATGCTTATCTTTAAAGGTAAATGTATATTGTACTTTGAAATGTTGAGCGATGTTGATTTAATTTATTTGCGATTTCTTGAAAGACGTTTTTTGTCTTCTGTTTTGGACACTAATGAATTTAACCACTTGCGGCTAAAATTGAAAGCGTAAGTTTATACACCGGTTTGACTTTTAAAAGTAAATACTGTACAGAGCTCTTTGGGTTGAAGTATCGAGGTAGTTTTTTTAATGTCAATTTAAGGTACTATTTTTGGGATTACGCAACATATAATTTGGTCATATCATGCGCCTGCTGTTTGTGTTGAACATGAAAATCGGTTTACTTTTTATGGGCTTTGTGACGTGTAAACTGAGTTTGTAGACACGTACATGTGCACTCATACTGTACACACCTACAAAACCTGTACACATACAACTCGCACACATGTACATTCATCTGTACACAAAGACAAAAGGTCCCCTTATAGGTTTTATTTAGGCCTTTTTGGAAGTGCTGGAAACACACTTAAAGCCTATATACGTACACTTGTACACATACCCATGTACGCTCACCTACACACAACACATCTATGTACAGACATTTGCACTCTTGCACCAAGTTTGTATACACACTTCACTGTGTACATGTACACCCTTACACTTACATATACATGTATGTTTACAGACATGTATGAACAGGTACACACATGATATACAGTTCAAGCACCGCAGCTGTGTACATTTCACAATTTAACAAGTTGCCAATAATGGAATGAGTTTCACGTGACTACTTTAAACGAATCCCTTATCCTCTTGTGATTAAAAAAAGAACAAACCCCCCCCCCCCCCCGACCTATTTGCCCACGCATTTTTTTTTAAGGAACCCAAATAAAGTTATTTCCATGAAAAGAAGTTAATTTTAAAATCTTTACGTGAGCGTGGATGACTCAGAGGCAGTAATTGCACAAGCAATTGCACAAGCAGTGTACGCTGCTTTCTTAAACGGATTTGTCCACACCATAATAATGTAGAATTTCCATCGCTGGCTCCCGGGGTCGCCAAGATAAGAAAATGGGCACTGCCACACACGGTTGTTTGGGCAGGGGAACACTTCGACTTGAAACCTATATGCAGGTGGTTTATCCAGGAAAAGCCCATGACTCATTTTTCAGGAAGGTCCTGACATGGTTTCTGCATTTGGGGGGGGGGGGGTAATTGCCATGTATGTACCAGTTGAGTCATTTATGGGTAATTTTTTCAAATGTGGACCATGACGCCTGCACAAAATGGCCTGCTGTTGCGAATGACGCCACGGGATCTTTAACGTGCAGAATGCGCACCTTTAGGATTAATATACTCGCAGAATTTAATCGAGGAGGCCACTGTGTTTTAACTGTGAACGTTCACCGTGAACGCTCTGCTGCTAGACTTTCAATGGTGCTACGGTCTCGAAATGTTAACTACCTCGCCTGGTATACAGGAGGTTGTGGGTTCCATCTCGACCCTGATACCTCTATATTTGGAGGTTGTGTGTTCTCCCCGTGGTCGTGTGGATTTTTCTCTGCGTGCTCTGGTTTTTTCCTCCAAATTTAGAAACTGGTGTTTCGAGAATTGGCTGCTGTACATCTCCACATGATAAACCGCTTAGTTGAACTATAACTTGTGGCCAGGTCGCTTCTGAAAAAGAGCTCGGTGGGCCTTACCTAGTCAAATAAAAATAGTATATAGTAGAGTATATATATGTGTAAAACTGGTGGAAAGGGTATTGCATCTTTTCAGAATAGGAATCTTTATCAGAATATTGCAACTGGAAGAATCCAATGAGCTATGACGTTATTTTTCACAGATGTCCAGTTGATATACATATCTGTTGGTGGTGCTAGGCCTCTTTAAATTCCATGTTATTGTGGCAGGGCCAGCATCTCCTTAGAGCAATCACTGTTATGTTGGGCTTCCAAGATGACCCAGGAGGGATGATTTGTTTTGATGAGGTCAGGTTGAACTTGGGTGAGATTTAAACTTATTTAAAGGGTCTGTACTCCCAAGTAAAGTCAAGTAAACGCCTTCCTGTGTGGGTTGTGCCCCTTTCCATTGGTAGTCCTGAATTTGAGGGAAGCACACATTAACATGACATGAGCCAGTGTATGAATGTTACAACCACTTTACAAAGTACTGGATTACTACGTAGATTTAGCTATTTGTGCTGAAAATCTCCGATGTGTTTTTGGGTTGTACCATATGTTGTTTGGCATGATGCCTGACATTCACTCCACGTGCTTAGGGCTGGTTCATAAACTGCGTTTAAATAATTCGCCTCTTTAAGTGATGGAAAAAACGCTCCATCCCATCACGACAGACACACTCGTGCAGGTCGGAACACAAAAATATTTCGCAACAGGAAGTTGTGCAATTCTTGTACAAAATCTCTACATCTGTGTGTGTTGTTAAATCTAACTGTTTCAGTTCACAAAAAAAACTATTCCAGTTCCTGAAGACGTTCCCAGCATGTGGAGTGAAATGTCTGACATTGTGCCGAACAACACAACGTACGAACACACATGGTCAAACCTAACCCACAACCAATGCGCTCTTGGGGCACTCGCCGAAAATCCTGAAGTCAGACGGCCTTGTTGCCTAGCGCTGTGGAACGTAACGTGCATTTGCCTGTCTGCGACCTTATTGGCAGTCACGTGGCTGAAAAATACTGAACTGACGTCATGCTCCCAGGGTGCGTGAGTCAGACTTGGCAGTGAGCTTGTGTGGGTGGTGCTTGAAGGCGAGTGTGTAGGCGGGTGCGTCTGAACCCTGCTTTGTGAATTCCACTGTTCAGTGTCTGGTTTCAATTAGATAATGGCCGACTCTCAGTGTGCTGCTGCATTGTAAATATTGGTGTGTGCATTTATTATATGGGATTGAAGCAGTATTGCAATTCAAGTTGGCAGTGCTATTAACATTTTTGGGTGGCAGACCGATTACCCACATTGCCATGAGTTAAATTGTCAAACGTAACCAACATTATGCTCTGATTAGAGTGTGGGGTGGTGCTTAATCCATTAGAAACCTTGAGTCAGCGTTGGAAATTCCACATGTCCATGCCAGTGGCCAGTCTTATTTCAAAAACTGCTGGAAACCATTAAATTAGCATCGACCGACCCGGAGCCTTAGAATTGTGCATCGAGCACCAAACCAAACACCGCCGAGCCGAATAAGGAGCTCGAGGTGTGTGCGTGAGGCCAACGACTGGAAAAACGATTAAGACTTATTTTTTTTTGAGTTAATAAAACTATTGTATAATACGTAGGCTTTCGCGACTAATACCCATAATATAGATTTTTTTTTAGGTTAGATCGTATACATATCAATGCTTCGTTAAACCCGTCACCGGGACGTTTGATGTCCTTGGAAGATGTATACAATTGTTCCTTAAAACAGGAGGATTTCTCCACAAATCTGGCTGTCCGCCTGATGAAGCGAATTGTAATTACTGGCGAAACGTCGTACTCCGATTGTAAATGTGGATTTGCTCTCCAACACACCGGTGTGCTGTACTAGTGACGAATTGACATGTTATGTTTACGTGACAAACCTTATTAATTGGCTTTGCCAGGTGGTGGCAGGTTTAACGACACATTTATATTTACACGATCTAACCCAAAAAACCTATATTGTGGAAAACGATTGTAATTCGCATAAAAATAAAGACAGCATCACCCTGCCCGAGCTTGGTGTGGGACTGTACTCCTGCAAATGGTAGATATTCCACATTCCTTTGGCGGGAACCAGTTTATCGAGGGGTGCGACCGCTGTCGATTGTATCCATAGAGTCGTCAAAGTGTGTTCCTGCTCCAGCGAGTGCTGTAGCGCTCAACTCTTATTGGCGGCGGTGGAAATTCTACATGCCTATGGTTGCGATCCCGCCTACACACAGGACAACCGCTGGTGATTTCTCGCAAAGCGAAACTGATTTGATGAGCCCCGCATGGATGATGGGCCCCCTAATCCAATGCACATTTTACCAGTGGCTCGTCACTGGGATACTTAAATGACGAAGTACGTGCACACGTACGCGCTCGTTGTTTAGAGAAACGCGTATTCAGCTCAGCCTTCGGGGATCAAAGCCTAAACGAAGACTCGCGTTTGTACCTCGAAACATTGGCAGCTGTGTGTGCATTGCATGATAAGTCGCTAAGCAGCTTGCAGTGCTGTAGTCGAGTGTTGGGGAACGGTGTCACTTACAAGGGACGCACTACGTAGAGTCGGCACCTGCCCTGGTTTTCCCTTGGTGTCCTTATTTTTAAGGTGGCCAACCTGGGAAATCTATAAATCTTCCAAGGACATCAAAAGTCTCGTTTTTTGTCAGTTGTGTAGATAATAACAAGGATAATAATACTGCACTCAAGGCAAGGTATTTTCATGTAGCTTTCTCCACTTCTGGTATTGTGAGATATTCTCTTTCCCATGATATGTTTGTTCATTTTATTAACAAACCCGATTACTTTAAGCTTGTGATATTATTTGCTGTACATTATCCAAGGCAATGTAAAAGGAAAACCAAATAAATGAAGCCATCGGAATTCACGCAGCATGGTGATGTGGATAAACCACAAGTCAGCAGGGCTTTGCTCGCATTTAAGTTTTTGAGCTCTGGGAGAGCAATTAGTACGAAACAAAATACCCAGTTTTATTTTAAAAAATTAGAGGTCCTCCATAAACCCCATATTATTTGGGGGACTCGATGCATCCACTCAGGGGTTTTGAAGCTAGTAAGGCATGGTAAGAGTATTGGCCCAAGGTGGCAATGCGTTCAGGGCACTTGACTCCCAATATTAAGCTAGCAAATGTTTAAAATCAGGGCCAGGCTTCGCTAAGCTCGTCATCCTTGTGCGATCAATAAAATAAGCACCACTTTGCGGGAAGCCAACAATGATCGTCCTAAGAATAAACTGACCTCTGATGCCCGTGCGGAATCCCCACCGCCAAGCCTTGGGACTGCCAGTTGAGATGACGATTCGATCGAACAAGAACACATTTGAACTCACGTTTGAATCATAAAATAAATAAAGGAGGTAGACGGAACTTAAGAAATATAAAGCAAAATACAGGATTACACGACGGTTCTCACCATTAGTAATGAGTAATCACGGGCTGATTACTTTTCAAAGTTACCCTTAAAAATGTCAAAAGTGTTTTCCTGCTCACACGAGCAGGAAGCTGTGCTCATGTCGTGTCTACGGCCTTGCGGTGGGCAGTCGTGGAAATTCCACTTTCTTACGGTGAGAGCAAGTGTCTCAATAGGGCAACCGCTGTTGACCCACAGAGTGGTTCTTAATGTATCGACCCAAGAAGGATGAAGCGTTGAGTCGAGCCCCACCCCAGGAATTGAACTTGTCACGTTCTCATCTGCGAGCCGTGCGCTCTTAACCAAACTGCCACCACCCGGTGGGATCATCCGCCATTATTTGTGTAGATGCCTCGGACATAAACCAGAGCCCTGTGGTTTCAGTACGCTATGATTTATGGGTAACAGTTAATCCCGGAATTAGTGTTACAGACATTGGCTACATTTCTCTATCTCTAGACAGGGAAGCGAATTCATCCTTGCGTATGGTCCGTCGTGGAATTAAGTAAGCTCTCTTCCTACTAAAGAAGGACAATGAAGTGGGATGCTGCCACGGTGTAATGGTTAGCACACTGGAATGCCAATCTGGGGGTCATCGCTTCGATCCACTCTCCGAGCATGGCAGTCGAAACAATGTGACACATTTCTGAAATCCCCCCCACAGCCTCTGTTCGCCCGGCAGTGTAAATGGGTAACAGCACAGTTGTTGGTCGGCAGGTCGCGTGAGGTGGGGTAAATTATAGGTAGGCGTTTGGCCAGCGTGGAAGAGTAGGCAAGATACCATCTAGAGCTCCCTCAGTGGGGTATTTGTAAGTCCTGCCAACAGTGGCATGAGCAAGTAGTTGCAGGGCTGTACCTTTACCCTTGAAAGTGAAAGTATGTCCTAATCAATGCCTGATCTTCCATCCCGACCGGAGTCACATGTTACATGGTGAAACGACTCCGGCCGTGAAGGTACAGGACTTGCTCGTGTATTCTATAGGGGTCTCTCTTACGAACTCGAGACGAGTAGACCGTGCAGACGAGACAGGCAATCTATGCGCCAAATCCTTAAAAAAGCCAAAAGGTATGCAAATGACTCCTCAAGTGTATTTTGTGCAGCTATCGTTAATAAGTAAATCTCACTTCATGCTTGGAGACCTGATTACGCATTTTGGTTATGAGCCTGTTCTTGTGAATGATAACGTCGACATCAAGATGATAACATCTTCGACCGCTACAGCAGACGGTACGCGTTGGTATTTACACGCGTCTGTCACGGAACTCCTACGGTCAAATCTATGAGAACAGCACTCTGCCCACTTAGGCTAGCGATGCTGATGGCGACGATCGAAATGGCGATGCTGATCGTGTCAGTAATAATAACAGTGTTTGCGAAGATACTTTTTTATGGTGAAAATAAGTGGTGCTGTGAATAACACTGGGAGCTATACATGCAGATGTAAATCACGTGGGTGTTGTTATAACGGATATTACCGGGGAAACTCATTCGCTGTAGCCCCCCGGTATTACAAGGCAAAAGTGCAGTCCTGCAACGTCTCGCTTTTGTCACTGCGATAGTGAGCGACCACCAGAAGGAGCTCTAGAAGGGCCCCTCAGGTGGGTATTTTTGGCCTGCTATTCTACCCTGACCAGAAGTATTAGAAGAGATGGGGAGTCCCCAAACTTTACACCCACTGCACGTGACCTGCCCGTCGCGACTGCAAACGCCGCAAAACACGCGCTCGTGACGCGTGCATGGTGACACCCGTGACGCGTGACGCCACGAGACACCCGTATATGCGATTTGCAAATCGCATTTCCCTATGAATTCATAAAAGTGATGCCTCCTCCTCTGAATGGGCAAAAAAAACCCGGTGGTCCGGTAAAAGTAGTTTGCGTTTCGCAGGCGACGTGCGATACATATTGCCTAACTTGTGCTGCAATCGTCTAAGTTTGCTTATATTTTCCAGTTGTGGTGTTCAGGATAAATATGCGGAAGGCAGTAACATGCCAATCCCAGTCAGGAGACGATATTATCGGTTGCCATGGTCATGCCACTACTGGATGATGGCCTCCCCAAGCCACGGCCATGCTCTCACACAGGAGACTATTTAACATGAAAATGTTTGGGAGTGTGTAAAACGGGTTCCACTTTGTGGGGAATTCAGCAGCGATTATCTGAAGGTGAGACTAACATCCGTCATAGACAGACTGGAGCAAGTAGGCGTCGAACACATTCTGAACTCGCAACACAACCCCAAAACACACTGGCGAGCTATCCAGCAAATATTGTTTGTCCTACCAAGGCCGTAGCCATGGAGTCAACATTGGGGGGTACCACATTTTACAGGGGGTCTAGGGCCCCCTCCCCCCAGAATTTTTAAAAACTAATTTCCTGCCTGAATATTAAAAAATTTACGAACACATGGGATATACTTTTTTTTACAATAATGTCAAATAGTCTGTCATATTACATTGCTCTGTTTTTTCTTTTTTTTACCTTTTCTTGTTTCATTGTAATGACAGAGATTAGGGATTAATTAAGTACTGTACAACCATAACCACAATCATATAAACAGAAATCTATGCATTGTTATATGAAGACAAGTCCAGATATTGTGGCCAAGGTTTAGCAAATTTTTGTTATTATTTACATAGCATGGACATGTTTTTATATTGTTTATAGCAATATATTGGGGGGACATTTTGAACATATTTGAATATTGGGGGGGGGGATGTGTCCCCCCCCAATATATTATAATTACAGCCTTGTGTCCTACAGATAAACGGCGGTCCACTCGGCCTACCTGTACCACCTTGTGGGGTGTCAAGACTTCTTCCTACTGATCTTAGGAAGCCACTGGAGCCATGCACTTTTACATCTAGATTGAAAACGCATTTATTTAGAACTGCTTGTTGTTGTGTTTAGATTGTTGTCCTTCCCCCCGGACCTCCGATTAGCGCGGTTAGCTACGTACGGTGCGAAAGAATTTCAACATACATACAGGCAGTCCCCGGGTTACAGATTGGTTAGGTTCCCGAGGAAATATCCGTAACTCGAATTTTCCGTATATCAGAGAGTGAACAAATTTCCCCCCAAAATCAAGATAAAATCCCATAGCCGAAAATAGTTGTGCCTACCCTACCGTCTTCTCTCGGTACCGTATCGCGCTTTCGTCCGTTTTCTATCGCAACCTGCATCGTATCGATGTACATACGCTTGCACTTCCCACGATTATTCCAATTTCATCGAAATCTGCCCAAACACTACTCATAATTAAACTAATGGGCCGTATACTGTATCCAATTGTTGATTTTAATATGAATTGTCGTTTCTGAATGTTTACCTAGCATTCGGCTCGGCCTAGACTTCACATACACAGATACATACAGATACATACACACACAGATATATACAAACACAGATACACACACAGATACATACACACAAACACACATACACAAACAAAGACAAAGATCCCCCATATAGCCTTAACAGACTGTTGGGGTAAGTGCTGTTAGCGAGCAGCACCCATAAAAGCCAGCACCACACACAAACACACAGATACACACACAGATACATACAAACACACACCGATACATACACATATACACAGTACATAATACTGTACAGAAAGCAAACAATGACGTAATGCTACGAAAAGAAAAGGACCACGTAACGCTATAACAACTCTATTTACCTTAACCTAGTGAAGTTCAAGCTCGGCGAAGGCGGGCGGAAGGCGGCCCGCCTTCGCGCTCGCTCCGCGGTATTCGTCCGCAACCTCACCGCGATTCACTATTCGAGCTGACGTAACGAATGCAAACATTTCCACATGTAGATTTGTTTACATGATTTATGGGAGCATTTCCTTAAAGTTGGATTTCCGTAAGTCGGACATTCCGTAACCTGGGGACTGCCTGTACATAAAAGGGCGACTGCTCAAAGGGTTTTAGGTTGAACCTTCCCATGGGAAGATGGAATTCTCTACACGAGCTCTGAGCCTCCAATGGCGCTGAGGGTAACGAGTTGACCATCGACCTTGCCGGTTAGGTCTCAAATACAAATCCAGGGCTGAATTTCAGCAGGGCCTGTCAGAGTCGGCGACCCAGAAAATAATTCCGCGCCCGGCACACCACATTCAGTTCACCTCTCGCTGTCACCGTGGCTACCAGTCGCGCACCTATTCCAGCCTATCAACGGCCGGGACAAAAAAAATATTAAGCGAGACTTAGACAGATAAGTGACGGAGTTTCCATCATATCATCACCTCCCTCTAGCAAAGGGGAATTTCCTTGTGTGGTTAAAAACAAGAGAATCGTCTGGGTGGAGGGAATTGTGTGGGCGTGAGGGGGCGAGAAACGCATACCTGTGATGGATGTCGCCCGCCAAGTTTGGG